TATTTTACAAACAGCTTCATAGATCTCAACTACTTTAATACTTACTTCGATCAAACCCGCCTATATAATTATTGAATAATTGATAATAATAAAATGTTAATTAAATAAATTTTACAAACAGCTTCACAGATCTCGACTTTAAGACTTACTTTGATCAAACCCGCCTATAATAATAAACGTTCATTTTGGAAACTTGATTTGCATATAGATCTTGACTTAAACACTTACTTCGACCAAGCCCGCCTATATAATTATTTGAATAATTGATAAAGCATTCATTAAATATGTTTTACAAATAGATTCATAGATCTTGACTTTTAACACTTATTTCAATACAAGCTGTTCAATAATTGATAAACATTCATCAGGATATTTTACAAACTTGCTTTGGAAGCTTCGTATGTCGTCATACATCTTGTATTTAACAGTCTATTTTTTCTGTTGAATTTTATTTTTTTTAGATTACACAATAAAAATTATGGAATAAATTTAATCCAATGAAATGGTTGGTATCCCATATTTTGCACAACTTGAAAAAAAGTTGATATATAAGTCATAGAATTGATATAATAATATCGACCGGGGAAAAGTCATGCAATGATGAAGTACCGAATATGGTCCCCTGTGTCTGGCTCCCTTAGGTGCAATGCCTCACTTTGGACCGGCTGTAAAGTCCCGCGTGCTAGGAAGGTGGAACTGACGCGGGTGGCTCATGTTGGGTGTATTGACCCCTCGTGACATGACCCTTCCTTTTGTTAATTTTTATTATTTATTTTTATTTAGTTAAAGAAACATTTAATATTAAAAAAAGATAAAAATTCGCTAATTGATTTGATTGGTTACATTTGTAATATACGAAGATCCATCAATCAATAATATTAATAATATTATAATTAGTAGCAACGACGACAATGAATCATCGTTTGTTGAGGATGATAGGATCCAGTTTGTATAGGAGTGATCGAAGTAAGTGCTAAGACAAGATTTATAAGCCTTCAAAATATTCTAACGAACGTTTTATCAATTATTCAATAGTTTATACAAGCATTAAGGACAAGATCTATGAACAAAATATTCTAACGAACGTTTTATCAAATATTCAATAGTTTGCATAAGTAAGTTTTAAGGACAAGATCTATGAAGCTTAAAAAATATTCTAACGAACGTTTTATCAAATATTCAATAGTTTGCATAAGTAAGTGTTAAGGACAAGATCTATGAAGATTGCAAAGTATTCTAACGAACGTTTTATTAATTAATCAACAGTTTATGTAGGAGTAATCGAAGTAAGTTTTAAGGACAAGATCTACGAACAAAATATTCTAACGAACGTTTTATTAATTATTCAATAGTTTGTGTAGGAGCAATCGAAGTAAGTTTTAAGGACAAGATCTATGAGCAAAGTATTCTAACGAACGTTTTATTAATTAATCAACAGTTTATGTAGGAGTAATCGAAGTAAGTTTTAAGGGCAAGATCTATGAACAAAATATTCTAACGAACGTTTTATCAATCATTAAATAGTTTATGTAGGAGCAATCGAAATAAGTTTTAAGGACAATATCTATGAACAAAATATTCTAACGAACGTTTTATTAATTATTCAATAGTTTGTGTAGGAGTAATCGAAGTAAGTTAAGGGCAAGATCTACGAACAAAATATTCTAACGAACGTTTTATCAATCATTCAATAGTTTATGTAGGAGCAATTGAAGTAAGTTTTAAGGACAAGATCTATGAACAAAATATTCTAACGAACGTTTTATCAATCATTCAATAGTTTATGTAGGAGCAATCGAAGTAAGTTTTAAGGACAAGATCTATGAACAAAATATTCTAACGAACGTTTTATCAATCATTAAACAGTTTATGTATGAGTAATCGAAGTAAGTTTTAAGGACAAGATCTATGAAGAAATTATTCTAACAAACGTTTTATTAATTATTCAATAGTTTGTACAAGTGTTAAGGACAAGATCTATGAACAAAATATTCTAACGAACGTTTTATCAATTATTCGATAGTTTGTACAAGTGTTAAGGTCAAGATCTATGAACAAAGTATTCTAACGAACGTTTTATTAATTATTCAATAGTTTGTGTAGGAATAATCGAAGTAATATTCTAACAAACGTTTATCAATTAATTAATAGTTTGTGTAGGAGTAATCGAAGTAAGCTTTAAGGACAAGATCTATGAACAAAATATACTAACGAAGGTTTTATCAATCATTCAATAGTTTATATATGTGATATGATTATGATAAAGTTATTATGATAGTTATTATCAAATTAATTAAGAAAATTTTATTCTGATGTCTTTGCGAATTATAGTTATATTTATAATGAAAAATTGTCATGTAGACAACAAGCAAACCATACTCTTTCTGGGTATCAAGTGATTGGTAACAATAGGTAATCGTTGATTTTAAAAATTTTAAAACCCATCTTTGTACAAAGTAGGTTTTCGCCAAATTCCTTTATATTACAAATTAAAAGATGCGCAAAAATTTTACACATTTCTAATTGTTTAATAAATCAGATATATTGTATACTCTTTCGAGTTAGCAAGTGATTGGTAACAATAACCAATTTGATTTTAAAAATTTTTCAAAATTAAATACTAACCAAAAAAATAAACAAAAAAAAATTTATTATTTTAAAAAACAAGTTTATAGAGCATGCATAGTTATGATGCTAGCCAAAAATTGACAAAAAAATTAGTTTTTATTTATTTATTTAACACGATATTATTAAAGCACAAAATTCGTCTGATGGCTTGATTGTAAGGTTTCTGGTCTAATATACCTACCCCTATATAAAAAACGTTGAAAAACCCAAATCGACAAAATAGTTTGAGCTTTGAGAAACAGTTTAGGCTAGAAACCTTACTTGATTGTCAGACCCATTTAATCATACGATTTTAATAATATCAAAAACTAATTTTCAATTTAATGATTTAGCGTAACATATGCATTGCACTGTTTAGTATCTAGTACTACCATTTAATTTATTTATTATTTGTATAATTTGCATTTGTATGATTGTAATTAAGAAAGAAAAATTCAGGTAAAATCAGAGTGCTAATTAGTTTGCAAGTATACGAATGACTCAAATTTATGTATCATGAAAGGAATATTACCAATTTGTCTGATCCACACACTCTACTAAAAAACAATAATTATTATCAATGCTAAAATATTCAATGTCGATATTGTTGACATCACTATCATCGCCTCATTTATCATTAGTACGATACATAAGCCGACGAATTAATTTTCGACGAAATGAACTGTCGACGAAATGAACTTTCGACGAAATGATTGTCGACGAAATGATTGTCGACGAAATGATTTTCGACGAAGTAAACGGGACCGAGCGTTCACCGCCTGTTGAAGTGTATTAGCAAGAGTTTGTATATCTTTTTGATGTGTTGGTTTGTTTACTTTTTTGGTTTTGTGGTTTACTACTGGTTGATTTAAATTGAAAAAGTCTCCTATATAGATCTGAAATAGAATTGCCATCTGAGTCACTAGGGTTGTCACTATCTCCACTTGTTTGCTCTACAGAACTTGATATAACTTCGTTTGGTGCCAATGAAATTGATTAGTCCTTGCTGCTGCCTCTATATATTCTGATATAATTTTCAGGGTATTCCCTGTATAATGCTATAATACTTGAGATAAATTCCAAACTTGTTCTGGATCTTGTCCCACTAATAAATGCTCGAAATCAAAGAGGGTATATGAAGTGCAATATATGGCCTGACAGTTATCAGTCATTCAATTCCAAAATATGAGGAATTGTGGTGAGAAGTTTTGACATAGTAGGTTGCAATCATGGCAAGATAGGTCCCGCCCGATGAAGGTGAGTTATAGTTGTTAAACATGGATGTAATCGACGTTGTCTTTTGTGCTCTAAAGTATTTTGCTCTATAGTATCAAAGTTCATTCAACTAATCCTCATAAGGGTCTTCTTCGTATGGCAAATCGTCTGGGATATTCTTTTTTAATTAATTTGTTGCAATTTTTCTTCAAATGTCCTTTTCCTCTGCAGAGTTCACAATAAAGTGGTTTTGAAAAATGAATTCTATATCTTCCGCCTCAATTAGTCCTTGGACTTTACAATATTTCTTGATATGATCTTTTGTTTCACAAGAATAACAAATTTTGTTGTGGTAAGGCTCTTCTAGTTGGTAGTGATATTTGAAAAGTTGATCAAGATGTTTAGAGAAATAATTAAAGACCAAATTGGTTAACTGAGAATCCTTAATGTCATCTTGAGAATTTGTTGATAAACTTGAACAAAAACTTCTGATTTGATGTTAATTCTCTCAATTGGATTTACAAAATTTTTTGAATAAAATGGTTACCTCGTAAGGTGTAAATAAAGTAATAAATAATAAAAAACTAAAATAAAAGAGAAAGAATAATAATAATAACTTACAGATACCTTCATTCGTTGATGAGTTAGTGGAAGGTGCAATTTTATGAAATATCTTGAAAAAAAAAAAAAGAAAAGAAAATATTAAAAAAATTCTGTAGATTTCAATTAAAAAATTTTATCTTCTTAGTGTAAATTTCCACACAATCTGCACCGATTATGATTTGGGAGAGCGTATTAATTGATGGTAACAATAATTTTTGATTATGTGTATCAAAATGATTGTCGACGAAATGAATCAGACCCCAGTACACATTTACGAAATGTTCAGAAGAATCAAACATGGAGAGAATAACTACCCAGATAAAATAAAAGCCAGAATGTTCATGGAAAGGTTATGGCATGAACAATCAATGGCAGTCAATTCTTACCTAATAACATCCAAGATGTAATTGATAGCAATGTTGTAACCCCAAATCCTTTTGGCTTCCCGAAACAGTTTCGGTAAACTGTCTAGTTTAGATTTCGGGTTACAAAACCTAAACCCACAACCGAAACCTAAACCTAAACCCATATCCAAAACCTAAACCTTACCCAAAACTTAAACCCATATCCAAAACCTAACTACCCTCAAAATTCAAACCAATAATTCCGCTTATTATTTATTTGAATTTGAGAAATGTAACTTCTATTTGTGTTCAAAGCAATGAAAGTAATAGTGAATCCATTGATACAGAATCAGATATTGATCCTGACGATTATGAATATTATTATAACCATAATAGAGATATTGATTTTCTAATAAAAGTCTACATAGATTTAAATAATTCCTTATTTAATTATGAAGGTAGTAACAAAAATGAAATTGATATAAGTGTAGAGAATTTACAACATAATGAAAATTATGATTATAACCCCAATGATTTGATTTCCAATTTTTTTGATGTGATATTAATACTGCAAAAAGAAAAAAAATAATTAATTATGAATGTGATATTTATTGATGAGGAAGATTTGGATTATGATTCACATAATTTAGGTTTTGATAATGAAGATAGGAGTTGTAACAAAAATAATGATGATGAAATTCAAAGTTCCTGAGAAATTAATGATGGCGGTGAAAAAATTAGTAATATTAATAGAAGGGGGTTTGAAAATAACATTGATTTATATGGAAGTAATGATGAAAATTCAGATAGTGATAATGATGTTGAAATAAAAGAAAAAAAATCTAAAAATACACCAAAGAAAAAATTTACATTAAGGAAAAGAATTAAAAAAAACTATAAAGTTTATAAAGTTTAAAAATAAAAAACAATAGCAATAAAAGTTTAAAAAATAAATTTGAATAAATTTTAAATTTTTAATCCATCTAAAAAAAATTCTTGAAATAAAATCGATTGGTATATTTTGTTATTGTTTGGTATAAAAATAGTTTAGAAAATAAAAATAAATTGTTGGTATAAAGTTTGTGTTGGTAAGAATTTAGGTTTTGGTGGTTTTTTGTGTTTTGGTATAAAATTAGTTTCAGTATGGGTTTTGGTAAGAGTTTAGGTTTCGGTAAGGTTTAGGATTTCCAAAAACTTCCTAACTAATTTAGGGAGGTTTCGGTTTCGGGTTTTCCCTAAACTCGGAGTTTAGGGTCACAACATTGATTGATAAAGCCAAGGCTTATGAGATGACCTACTCACGAGGAGGAACCTTATCTGCCTATTCAGCAGAAAAATTCGTGCCCAACATTCCAGGAATAAATAAAGCAGCAGATCAACAACTGCAAGTATTAATTAATCAGCTGGTTAGTATATATGATGAAGGGAAATAATTTCCAATAGAATCAAAGACCTAGGATCCATAATAATGCTAATACTGAAAACAAATGTGCTGGTAAAATGCTTTCCAATGTGGTCAACAAGGACACGTAAAATGGAATTGTCCACAACTCACTAACAACATCAATAATAATAACAAGAAGAACCAAGAAAACACTTCAAGCCGAACAATTGAATGTTAATATAATAATATCAACAGTTATCTATTGCAAATAAGGCTCCGAACGGATCAATGAAATTCGAATCGATTCGAATCGATTCGAACAGATTCGAATATATAATTTGATTCGAACGGATTCGAATATATAATTTGATTTGAACTGATTTGATTTGATTCAAACTGACTGGTTCGAATCTATAATAATAACTGATTTGAATCAAATACACGCTGAGCTCAAGCCAGGCTCAAGTTTGATGTTACACAAATTTTTTCTATATAATACTTTGATTTTATTTATTATGCACATTATCTAAAAAACAATTTAAGAGCCTGCTTGGCTCGAACCTGAAAACTCAAGTCTGTTCAACCTAGAGAATAAAGTTAATAAAATGAATAATTCAAATTAATTGAGTTGTATTTCTACTATTATGAATAATTCTAATAAGAATTTGTATGATGAAACAAGTAAAGATAATTGGAAAAGAAGAATTTGTTAAGCAAATAATAAATGAATAATTCGAATACGAATAGAAATTCTACTTTTATAAACAAGACACGAAAATTTTTAATTAACGGTTGATTGATTATTCTTTCACTTGGTCAAAAAGTGACGTCAATATTTTCTTTTTATATGAAATTAAGAATCACTAGGCTTGAAGGCATGAAATTTCAATGTCGATCATCAAAAATTTTATTACGTTTTGCAGTAGAGATTAATTTCCGTTAATTAAACATTTGTCCGGTATGAGAATGGGTTTTTATCAATCAATCAAAAAATTTTTAATTGGCAAAATAACTTACAAAAGGCAATGAATTTAAAGCAGCTGATTCTCACAAAATAGTAATCAATTGATAATTTATTTGATAATGATTAATGAATGGTTAAATAAATAATAAATAAATACTAAATTAAAAATCTATAAGGTGATGGACCTATTTGTTGTTCTTTATAAGGTCCAAATGCTGGATCAGGTTTTGAATATTTTGTTAACTCTTGTACTATACGTCCACCAGGAATAAGTGCTTGAAGATCTGCTCTAGATGGAACTGTATCAAATGTAATCTATAATTAATCAATTAATAATATTAATTATATAAGTAATGATATCTTCCAATTTCCAATGACAAAGATGATAATAATAATATAATACTAACTGAATCATTAACTCTCACGTAACTATTATACAAATCATTAACCTCTGTATATTCTTGCGAAGCATGTATAGCAAGTGTAGATGATTTTGATTTTGAAATTTGATGAAACGCTTCACGCGCTTCTTTAATAAACCCTACAGCCGTACCAATTTTTCTATTTATTCATTTATTAGTTAATTTTAAACAAATAAAATAAATATCTGATTATAAAAAGAATATATTAATAAAACTACATACTGATGTTCGTAGGCATCCTTTGCTAAAAATTTCTTTCCAAGTGACTATAATAAAATCAATATTCAAACATATCATACATAATATATATAAACACACAGAGGAAACCACATAATATATATTCATTTACCTGATGAAATAAAGCACCATTCGAAACATATTTTCGAAAATTCCCACAAACTTTTTGTGGGTCTTTTAAACTATTAAGAAGTCCATTTGCAGATTCATATTCTACTGCAACGCCAATGGCCAACTTTGCAAGTAAAGAGGAAGATTTTTGTTGCATTAAAGCTTTACGAATCGCAATTGAAGATGCATCTGCAAGTGCGATTCTTGAATAAAATAGAAATAAAAATGATAATTTTTAAAATCATTTGTAGAAAAACTCTAAATACATATATGAAATATATATACTCACTTTGAAAGTGATGTTGATATTTCCGTTAAAACATCCAGTGGTCTAGAATTTGGTGGGTTTTCCCATCTTGGAGATATATTTTCTGTAATATAGGCAAAGATTCCGGATGCTTTACGTAATAAATCTGCTGCCTGTCCGTATAAATAAATAAATTTATAAACTAATTAATAAAAAATTGTAAATTTAATAATGATAATAATAATATTATTATCTTCGTCTCTCAATTTCTCCAATATTTATGTGCATCCATTTCTCTCTAATACCTGTCTCAATTTAAGATCCATTTCATCTTTATTGGTTTGTCGTTCTATAATACTAGTAGCCCAATCAGAACATGTATATCCATATGTCAATAATGTGAATATCAATTCATAATAGATTCCTTTACAAGATACACGCGGTTTCTTCTTCTTGTTTAGTACCGAGTCAGTTAACGAGCAACGCCATGATGTTTCTTTTTTTTTTTCACCAAGAAGAAATTATAAAATATTAATATTGATATATTTTATCTCATATAACTTAACAAAAATATACATATATTTATTTACCAATTTCTTTCTTCAGTTTCAATTGTCCACATTCCAAACAATCAACTATTGCCAATAAATATGGTAAATAGTCATCAACCGTCTAATTAAATATTTTATAAATTTATTTCATCTATATATGTTAATATATTTAAATATATACAAAAGACAAAATATTGGAATTATTCAATTTTGGAAAAAAGGAAAAAATATTTAAACATTAACTAATATGTTTTTAACATATACAAAACCTTTATAATTTTTGTATAATCTATTGGTCCTTCCGTTTTATTTGCTTCTTTTAAAACTGCTCGCACACGACCTCTTTGAGCCGTTGCTTCTGAAATTCCATTTAAATATAGCTTGTCTTGATCCAAAAGAAACTCAGAAAAAGAAATTGAACCAGTTGTAGGAATTGAATATACAAAGCTCATTTTTAATAAATTCCTTTAATTTAATACTAATGTTAAATGCAGTGATGATGATTCACATAATTATGTGATAAACACAATCACAAAACTAAAACCTGATAGTCGATCATTTTCAATTATATTTTGAGAATCAAAAGATGCAATAAAAATTGTTTAGTCATGTGATATTTCCTAGTCATGTAAATCGGCAATAATAATACAGTCAGGGATCTTTCCAAATTTGGAATGTGGCTAATACAACAATTGATCGACAATAAATGTCTTCTTTC